ATGCCAAAAAACCCATAAGGCAGCTTTCACAGCCAGAAGCACTCATTCCAGTTCTAAGAACTGTCAGAGTGAGTGTGCATGTGACTGAATTGTATGTCTACATGCACATATTCACTTGAACCACTTGCTGACAAAGAAATCCTGTAATTCAAGAATAAAGTGACTCGTGTGACTGACTTAACAGCTCCCTTCAGTCACTCATCATAAACAGCCAGAACCAAGTGCTGTAACAGAGACATTGTCATTAACAGCTCAGAGGCATTAAATTAACAGCATTAAATTGACTATTTCATAGTCAACTGCCAATTATATGGAGAGTCATTGAAATAGAAGTTTTATAAATTTAGGGAGCACTGGTCCCAGGTTGTCTCAGCTGATGGCACAAACCCTACCTGCCATTCACCTGCAAGACAATCAGTATAAGAAGCATGCTGCAAACACACACTAACAAGGCAGAGACCTGTCTCAACATAAAGAAACAAAGGAAACTAAAATACTGGAATAAAGAAAAAATACAGAGGGAGAGGGAAGTACAGGGATAGCAGGGTAAGAAATGAGAAGCAAAACAGATGTGGTGGGAAAGAAACAAGAAGCAATCAAAAAATAAGATCTTGAAAGTGTTTAAGGAGCACATACCATTGAGGTGTGTGACCTCTCTCCTTCAGATTGTCACATTTGATATCGAACCAGCAGAACTGTAGCTTCACCAGCTCCAGCAAAAGCACTCAGCAATTTCTGAGCCTTTGGAGTTCAAAGCAGTCACATGCAGAAGAGATGGATAGTCGATCTTTGGCAACTTGAATTCAAACTCATTCCAGTTTTTTCCCACAATTCAGTGGCTATAATCCATTTACACACTTTATGTCATGGCTGTAACCTTTGTGAAAGATTAATTTCAAATGCTGCAAGATATCAAAATATGATCATGAGACCAACAAGTCCTCCAACTTAAATGACCCATACGGTCATTTGTCTTTTCCCTTTCATACAATCCATAGGTGTGTCTCATTAAATAGCGCTCCTATAGTAGCAGTGGGAATTGCAACAATTCCGTTAACATTAACAACAACGTACATCAAACTACCAAGTTTTACAGACTTTTCACATCATGGAAACAGCTACAGTATAAACATGATGGCTAGGTACTCAATTGTCCTGGAAACTGTCCAAAATATGATGTTACAATTTTGAAACCGTCACAGTTTCATTATTTTTGCCACACAAACTACTTGATTAGGTTTAGGGGGAAAGAAATAGCTTGGTCATGTTTAGGAACAAAAACTCTTCAACAACACAAGCCACACACTGGAAATGAACTCCGCTTTCATGAGGGGAAAGTCCTGTGTTTTGTATATCTATCCATCAACCCTATCCTCCTGCTAGCAAGTGCTTTGTGCCTCTACATAATATGTCACGTTACTTACTCCTTTCCTCATCTCCTAATCACTAGATGTCACCGAACTATAACACATTACAGTTCGTCGTAATAACCTGCTGCTGCAATCAACATATACTGACGTATTTTACAGGAGGAGTCTCTAAGAGGCACTGTTTAATTGTGTGTCCTAAAATTGTACATTCCTCAACACTGTCTGCTTAAACTACTTATTCTACCTCCTAATGACAAGGAAAAAAGAGATACAGTAGTCTGTGTACTAACCGAACCTCCCCCAACCCATAGTACTCCCATCTGAGAGAACTATTACCTTCTTACTATTGACATTATCTCACCCAACTGGCACATTTGCTCACTTGGGTTGAGAAATATATAAACTTTAGCAGTCACGTCTGGACTAATTGGCTTATTAAGACTGACATTTTTAAAGAGAGGATAACACAGGAGGGAATATGGGGAAGAATAGGTAGAGAACATTTGAGGACCGAGAGGTGGGCAGCTCTCCCCAGAGACCCCTGATGCACCAGTTATTAAAGCCCTACTAGTAAGAGCACAGCTTGTTAAAGGATGAAAATGTCAACAATTGACTTAAGAAAATCAGTGTGAAAAGGTAAAGTCCCCACATGTGTGACAGCAAGCTCATAATTTCCTGGATTCTGGATTTCCTGTAGTGATGTCTTATAGGCACCGGTATGAAGGTGGGAGGGTGTCACAGTGTCACCTCCCCAGGCTTGCATTGCATGTATTAGAGTTTCCTGTTACCATGGTTTCACCATCATGGGTCTGACTGGCCTCTTTGTAGGCACCTGTCATACATGAAATGGTCCCAGATGGCCAGCATTGATTTCATTAGCCGAGCTTCTTTTAAGAGAAGCCAGACATTTTTCTCCCCCAACAGGGATTATCTCTCGTGACAGGCCGGCAATGTTCAGACAGATTTCACCAAGCACTGTCCCTATTAGCTACTCTATGTCAGTCTGCTGGAGATATGCAGGGCCACCACCACCACCCCCATGCCCTCTTCTGTGGCAGTCTTTGCCAAAAAGAACATATGGCAGGAATTCAAAGCTAGCACTTGGTGATAGTTGCCTGAGACCTTGTGCTGTGCCACTGCTGCTGTTCATCTAGTCACTAGATAGCTGTGTTGAAACTTGTTCCTCCAAAATATTAAATGCTAAACTAAATTGATCTGTTATCCTTGCTAATCATTTCTAATTGCTTACACAATACTGTTATTTAATGTATTGGAGTCAATGAGTTCTCTGTGCTCTTGGCCAGCATTATAAAGCGGTTTATTGATTTTTGTCAAATCAAATCAAAACAAATTTATTTATATAGCACTTTAAAAACTACATCCAGTTGACCAAAGTACTTTACATAGCAGAATTAAACCACAACAAATGACTAAAATAGAATAAATAAGATCAGTGCAAAAAATAAAACAGCACAATAACACAGAAACAGATGACATACATTCAATAAATTAAATTAAAATTAAAAGGAATGCATCAGGACCTGCTGTGTATTAAAAGCCAAGGCAAATAAATATGTTTTAAGCAATGATTTAAAAGTACTGAGGTTAGTAGCTGATCTAACATTAAAAGGTAGACTATTCCACAATTTAGGTGCTTCAACAGTAAAAGTACGATCACCCCAGCGTTTATATCTGGCCCTAGGAACCTTTAAAAGAAACTGGCTTGAAGACCTGAGGGACCTTGTAGGTTTGTGCCAATGCACTAATTTGGTGAGGTAAGATGGTGCCAAACCATTAAGAGCCTTAAAAACAAAAATTAGCAGCTTAAAATCGATTCTAAAATGGACTAGAAGCCAGTGGAGAGAAGCCAGTATCAGGGTTATATGCTAGAATTTCCTAGTACTTGTCAAAAGATGAGCAGCAGCATTTTGCACTATTTGGAGATGAGTGAGGGAGGACTGGTTAACACCATAGTATAGAGCATTGCAATAGTCATGATGGGAAGTGATAAAAGCATGGATTGCAATCTCAAAATCATTAAAAGAAAGAAATGACTTGATCTTGCTTAACAGCCTCAGGTAGAAGAAGCTAGATTTCATAACTGAGTTGATTTGCTTGTCAAACCTCAAGTCACCATCAAACATCAGCCATAGATTTTTTACAGTCGACTTCAGTGGTTGAGCTAGGGGGCCCAGAAAATCAGTGTGAAAAGGTACCATGAAGAACTTGGGCAATGGAACACTGTCATGGGCATTTTTAGTATTTTTCAGTTCTTTATTGAAATTCCATTTTTGTTCCATCTTCTGAGATGCCGCTGAAAAGCTATGAATATACAGAAAAAGAAATGTATCAAAACATGTTTATACCTACATACTAAATGTATTTATAACTTATTACACACATTAGCTTAAACGGAAGTATAAACAAACTCATCAAACAACTACAGATAAATGTTTCAGTCCGTTTAATGGTTCTCATTCAGCCACATTCACTTCACTCAAAGCACCACAAACACACACAGATATTTTTTAGCTACTCATCTATAAAACAGCCTTACCCCTCATGCACTTAATCATACCCTGAGCAAACTATACAAAATGCTTTTAATATCAGAAGTCAAACATGGAGCACTGGGGAGCTGTGGTTAGCAGTCTGTGCCGTGTGATCCTGCAGCTCAGTGATTTGAGGTTCATTCCATGTGAGTGTTCCTTCAGCAAGAGAGAGTGAATGACAGTGACAGAACGGGCTAAATTCTGTTTACATCCCTGTATTGACATGGTGTGTGTAACACTGTAGGGAAGTACGCAAATGACCATGTATGTTTTTCAAAAATTTGCTAAATAGGATTTTTGAGGACAATGTTTGGTGCATTTCTGAAATTATGGTTGACACCTTCAGCAGAGCGAAGGAGCCCAGCTAAGCGGACAGGCTCAGGTACTGTATGTGTGTCATGTGGCGTTGTCGTGTACAGAGTTTCTGCGTTTGTTGTCACTGCGCTCAAAAATGCTATGGGGAATACATTTGATTTGCAAATTTAAAACAGCACACCTGCATATTTGCAAAGACACACACACACACACACACACACACACACACACAGGTGTGTTTGCTTTCCACAAGGATGATTTGCAACTGAATAGGGAAGTTGCGCTGGCTGACTTCTAAGTTTTGACAAAATGCTTCCAGGTGAGAAACAAACCTGTATGCACCAAGGACATTTCATTTATCAATGTTCTACCTTTTCTCAATAGAAGCCAGTGAAAATAGCTTTACTTAAAGCTGGAGTGGCTCCATTAAAATTCAACCAAGAGCTGTTTGCACTAACTTTCCAGTCAGTGCCTGCTGTTCAAGGTTGTTTCCTTTAACACTCATATATGTGTGTGTGGTTGCGGCTATGTACTGTGCATGTGTGTTCACACCAAGCAATAGCAACCAAGTTTCACTGGAATACAATGCCAAACTGTAGATGCTTGACTGTATTATTTTTCATACTTAAGGCAGAATGTGTGTCCTCTGTATCAGTGATTTGGGCACAGCCAGCTGGTCTTGATGACCCCCTCTGTTGTCACCTTTCCATCTCCCTGCTGAAAAAGCACAGGTGTTTCCTCTGATAGCGCTCTCTCTTACCAGGAAGTGACAACCATCCACACCTCCCCATCCAAAAGAGTGACGTCCAGTAGCCTCATACACCCGTCGACAGATCACACCATGGCCTCGCCTCAGGACACCACCATTTGTGAGTATTTTCTTGTTCTTCGTTAGAGAGCAGACTTTAACAGTAACTTTTCCAAGAGTTTTGATGCAACATCAGATGTTACTCTATAACATATGACAGGAGGCCTAGGTTTGCGATTACATCATAGTTACACTAGTCTGTCAGGCAAACAAGCAGTGCTGCCAGATGGTTAATGCAATGTTTTGTTCCATTTGTTCTATGAGATAAACATTTGGTAGAAGGCTGCTTTTTGAAAACTAGATTGCTCCTTGCTAGATAAGGCTGCCTCTCTGGCAGGTTTTTAATGGGAAGCCTGGGGTTCACTAGATACTGGGCTTCCATTACTGTGATAGCAACACTGTAGTGCTTACCTCTAGTTTGTTTCCTACTGATGCTGATAGCAGTGTACACACAGATGGAGCTTACAGTGCATTTTTTAAAACTCTGCTTGGATCAAAAATAATCAAAATAGTTCTAAGATATATGCCTCTCTGATATCACAGTTTGTTGACTCTGGAGTGAGTGTTACTTTGGGGTATGTGTTAAAATTAAAGAGTAAAAGGTTCAAAACACTGCACAGATGAAAATGAAAGAAACATGAGTAAATAAGGAGAGCAGCCAAAGTTAGCTAAAGAGAGCACCATGTGTATCTCATTTTTACACAAACAATTTGATAATGTATGGTTTATTATTTTATTGAACTCGGAGTTTAATTTACTTTTTACATGTACAGTATTTCCAATGTGCCACCCCTCTCTGAGTCTGTGCCCCAACCTGACCACCCCATTCAAAATTTTCTAGATCTGTCTCTGCATTATTGTTCATTTGAAATTGTCTTTGCCACCTGATGAATGTAAGATCAATAGTCACGGTACTTTCAGATCTGTTTTTGTTCTCCACCAACATCTGAGATTAATACTGTACTGTATATGGCCATTTAGCTACTAAATGGTCTGCTGTGTTAACTTGCTATTTGCTAGCATTGTCTACTGTTTGATGTTGAGCAGGTAGAGCAGAACTGGTTTTTAAAACTTTTCCAGAAGGCTGATTAATGCAGTGAGAATGAACCAGAGTAGAAAAGTTGTGGGCTGTGAAACCAAACCAGTGATCTGAAGGCCACTAACATGTTCCATGAAACTTAGCAAACCTGCAGAGCTGTTGATTTGGCTAATTATAGCTTCTTGAATGTTCACTGATGGTAGTAATTTTCTCATTTAACCAGTTAGTTCTGTATTTTATCACAAAGCTTAAATGTCATCAACAACCATGCTGAGTTGACGGGACAGTGAAATATCCAATCAGCTGTTTGATTAGCTTGGTGATGCTGCCAATCACACGAACGTTCATCTAAACACCGTTGATTGACAGGTCATTCCTGTTGTCAGCCAGCTTTTCATTTTGAAATCAAGTCACCTCTGTTGTTTTCCAGCACCTATCACTCACCATTGTTTATACATTCATTCTGATATGTCATCTTTTACATTCATTCAGCTTAGGCTCCACAAAAACCTTTCTATAGTAGGGAGAACCCTGGTCATGCTAATGTAAATTAAAATCAAGAAAAGGCTAAAAGAAAGGTGGTGACTGTAGAGAGTGAGACTTTAAAGTGATTGAAGTCAGGTCTCAAACAGGTATCAAGTCATTAATCAGACATACACACACTTGAACTCAACCATACATGCAGACTGTGAGCCGCTCCAGCTCTACCTGAGATCAGTCAGGCTTTCATGTCGCCTGGTGCTGCTCTAAATCTCCACGCTGTGTCTAAAATTGGAGCTTGTTTACGATCCTCAGCATTCTTGTTGTCCTGACTGAGAAGCAGCTTTTGTCTTTGCTGACAAGCTGTCAGTGACAACACTGCATAATCTGCCCGGTCAAATGACTGACAGTGGTGGTGGGGGGGCTCCAGGAGCTGTTCCCTACAAAGCTGCAATGTTTAAATAAAACAGGGAATAACTTTAAACAGATGCAGAGCTCACCTCTAAATCTTCATGGTGCACTTTCTAAAAAGGCACCCTTGTTTACATGTTTCCTCTCATATTACACCAGAATCCCACCATGAAACCGTGGTTGGCTTTGTGGCAGACAGAATAGTAGGTGTTAAGTAGGATGCTTTTTATTCTATTAAATGTTGTATACTTCTCTTAGTCTCTGGTGAATTAACCTTGTCAGACAAGCTGGGCCTAAGAGAATTTTTCAGTGTGCAAATGCTGCCAGTTGGAGGTAGATTTGCCAATAGACTGTTTTTGCTTTAATAAATCTCCTCCCAGATTTTCCTGCCAAATGATGATGTCTTTATAATATTATCCTGAGGAAAAACAAAGATTTTCTTGTCATTTTTTTGTTTTCTGTTTTTAATTTTACCTACAGTACATTAAACTGTTACGGTTGCTCGGACACGGCAATGAACGAGCAAATAAGACGGACCCAGGTAGCTGGCTTCGGTGCAAGTAGTGTAAGATTTATTTACAGTGCAAGTCACAGTGAAATAAACAGACAGTTGCGAAATGATAAAGAGTCACCGGGTGTCGATCTGCTGCAGAGGAAAAGAGTTAATGATGAGATGGATGGTAGAGGTCGGGCTGCGGAGACTGGCAGGGCTGAGTAGTTCCAGGGTCCAGGGGAGAGGTCCGTAGTAAAGGAGAGAACAGCAGGAAAATGGATGAGAGGATATAGGAGACGAGGAGACCTAGGGTAAGCAGGAGCAAAGAGTAAAACGTCTGGACTAAGAGAAGGTATGACTGAAGGACTAGAAAGAAACCATGAGCAAAGGGGCCTGAGAATATGGATTGAACTGGCAAGGGAGTGAATGGTGAGCAGGGTATAAGTAGGGAGGAAACTAATAAGGTGCAGCTGGTGACACTCAGGGGAAGTGGGGCAGGTGTGCCAGATTGTGTAATCAGGGTGAGGAAGCAAAACCAGAGTGAGAAAAAGTAAGAGAGGAAGGTGCAGCCGGGCAAACCTGACATAAACATTCAAAGTATGACCAAGTTTTAAAATTGTAATTAATAAGTAATAAATTGCACCCTCTCTTAACATCATATACTTGCTGCTTCAGCTGCTTTGGTCTGGTGGGACCAGTAGATTGATTCATTTATGACTTTTGTTACTATTGATGTCAATAATAAAATGAAAATAAGTTCTTATGTAGCTAGGGAATGACATCCCCAGCCAGACTCCAACTGGTGGCATTGCAATAATGTGGCCATTGTTTTAAAATCAAACAACAGGAGGCACTGTTGCTGTCTCAGCTGACTAAATAAAATCATAGAAAATGGTGGGAAATGTATTTTTTCCATTACCTTATTCTTGCTGCTTGTAGCCTCACTGACAACTTTTCTTGCCAAGAGCTAGATGAGGAAATTGATACTACTCCCAGGTTAACCAGCAGGCAATTAGCATGTCAACTGGAAACAAGGAGAAACAGTTGTCCAAATTTAAAAAAAACCCTGTGGGCACCACTGAGCTCAATAATTAACGTGTTGGGTCTCTTTATTTAATCTGTCCAATTACACTGAATAACTTGTTTTTCAGTATAAACTTGGTTGGCCCCCATTACTCTAAGGAGGAGTCCTTTCCTAACTGTGAAAGAGTTTCCTTGTTTGGGGCTAACAAAGCACTAACATTACACAAAGCTCAAATTTCTCAATTAAAATCATATTAATTCAACACAAAGGTAAAATCACAGCCATGCCAGGTTGCTAATGTTACCAAAGCGAACATGTTAGCTTTAGATACTAACCGATCCAGAAGAAACAATGCCACATCTGAAGTTCAATTTTAGTCCTTTGGCTGATTTAAACACTCTCTATCTCAAAAAGCAAACTGATGGTAACCTTGTTTTTTTGTCTCGCTCTCTTTGTGCAAGAGAACATTACCTCTTCAGTCACTGTTTCAGACTTTTAGCTGCTGAAAGCTTCTCCATGGCTGTCTGTTTGAAATGACTACTTGCGGTTTATATAACAGTTCTTATTCACTAGGTGGCAGGCAGGGGTAATGTCCATATCAACCATCAAAACAGAAGGGCTTTAGGCAGCTGAGAGGCATCATGTCCTGTCCCATTTTCAGTTTATCAAACAATGTGAATGGACTAATGGACTAAGGCTAATGGACTTTTAAACTGGTCTTCCTAAACAATTTTAGGTTGACTAACTCTAAAAGACACATTATAAGTGGATTTGCAAGCCTAGCATCATTAAGGCTACAAATACCCATAATGCAACATTCTTAATGTAATGTAACATAGGGGCCAAGACTTGCTCCATTTTAAAAGAATACCTGCTACAGCAAATGCATAAATGTCTGGTCATAGGATATAACACAGTCCCACCTTTCACACATGATATAAAATATTGTTTAAATATGGACCTATATATTTATTACATTTAAACATTTTTAGACATTATAAAGCTGGTTTATTTGATGCTGATTTGCAGTATCATATAATTTGTGATATTTGCCCATGCCTCTCTCTTTTGGTTTAAGAATAAATTAGACCTATTTAGTGGGAGTGCTGTTTTCCAACCCTAACTAGTTGAAAATAAAATTGTTATGGATTGGGAACATCATGACATTCTTTTCTCACAGGCAAAAATACCAGGTGAAATACTTCTTGAGTCATCAGCAGTGATTAGCGCAAACCCATACAGCTTAGGTACAGCACATATGATTCACTGTTATATAACAAGGAGCTGTACCTCTGTTTATTGGCATCTTAATTTAGTAAATTAAAGATAATACTCGCATTAAATACTTTATTGTTTTCAAAATTAATTTAGTTTAAAAATAAGGTGAGTGTGGACTCACATGGCACTGATATGTGTATATTTGCCCTAAAGGAATTAGTCAGTAAATATAAAAGTAAAAACTTTACTGTATTCATGTGTTTTTTAGTGCCTAAATATTTAGTGAGATGCTTGTCATATTGGTATGCCCATCAGACTATATTTGTTAGATGGGATAACTGTATATCTGCACCCTTTCAGACCTGTAATGGTGTAAGACAAGGTAGTCTGCTCTCC